CACCCAGACAGAAACTGTCCAAACCTTGCCCAGGTTCGGGATGCCTCAGCTTTTCAGCTAAACTAATCACACGACAGGTGTCCGGACAAACTCTTCTATCATTTTACATTCGGTTTCGCTGTAGAGTGAAAGTCAGCAGTAAACCTGTACTGTGTTAGCTGTGATATGGTTAATATGTTTATAATGCATCAGTGTTTCCGGGTCCTATGAGTTATTGTCTGGTAGTGTCTTGTCATTGGATTGAGTGGGAAAAGCATAATACAGTAAACTTTTTCATGCTTTTATGCATCATTCTGCTATGATGTCTATGTAGGAGCTGAGAAATTTGAGCACTCTGTCCATTTTGTAATGCTTACTCATTGTTAGCCTAGTGTATAAAATAGTAATATAAAACAAATGGTACTCTATAGTAATTACTATTATTTTATTTACTATCTTTATGTTACAGTATATAGTGTCTTTCACTATACAGTACATCTCGAGGCACTCCACAATAAAACAGTTAATTCAGTAAATGGGTTAAAAGGTAGAATATGAATGCAAGTTGTAAGACAGGATTTGAAACTGTCGACTGACTTGCAAGATTCAGTGTGGGCTTAGAGACTGCGAAAAGGAGATGTGCTGGCAGCAACAGAGCAGAAAGCACAGTCTCCCAGTGTTCAGAGCCCCATTTAAGACACTGGGAGAGGGCCAGAGTGTTAAGGTTTTCCAGAGAGATGTCTCTGCTTTGTCATTCAAACCAATGTTTTAGATGTGCAGTCTAAACAATATTACTCACCTACTGTTCCCTCTTTTCTTGGCCTGTTTAGTTGGACGCTTGCTAATTGAGTTCAGCTCTGCCATGACGCTGGAGAGAGTGCAGAAGGAGAACCCCAATGTGACCGAAGGAGGGAAGTACACCCCTCCTGATTGTAGAGCCAAGCAGAAGGTAGCCATCATCATCCCTTTTCGACACAGAGACCACCACCTGAAGTACTGGCTGCACTACCTCCACCCCATTCTTCGCCGGCAGAAGATCGACTATGGGATTTATATTATCAACCAGGTGAGTGTTCTCTTCACACGTGGCGGGACAGGCCTTCATAACTATCGCTCTGCCACTTCCAGTGAGTTTAGACTAAAAATATATATTTTTTATATTTTTGTTCCTTTTTGGCTCGTAAAAAAAGAGCAGTGTGGTTTATAAATTAAGCTGTCAGGCTTCAAGGTGGAATTGAAATGGCTCTGCTTTAGTAATTAGCCCAGTTTGCCAACAGAAACACTAACCTGTGCTCTCTCTGAACAGGGTCACATATTAAGTTGCAAAATTGCATTGCTGAAGACTTGATTTAAAAAGTCTTCAGATTATAGATCATAATAATAAGGGGGTATTTTTTTATCCATGCAGTCATTCTAGGTATGAAATGTGATTCATATATATTACCATTGCTTCTAATTTAAGATTGAGCATTTTATGCAGAAATCCATAAAAATAATATTATTTAGAAGAGTAAGTCCTCCACATAAATCAGTCTCTTTCTGGCATCTATACTTCCCTGCAAAAACCTTGATGCTGATAATCAGCTCTCAAGTAGTTTTCAGTCCTTCTATTGTTGACAGATCTGCCTCTTCCTACAAGTCTTTTCCACTGTTTTGGTTGTGTTTTGAAGTGGCTGTTTTTCAAAGTTAAGCTTTGGCTTTTATAGCTGCATTTTAGGATAGCTGTTGTTATCTGAAATTTCCACTTCACTGTCATTAACTATGCCCATTAAAGCTACATAATTATGCACTTGCAGGTTTTATGGTTTGTGTGAATCTTATTTTGTCTTTGGTTTTAAGGCAAATCCTTTCTTAACCTCTAAGAAGTCACCTGAACAGAGCTGGCCGCACGGGCCATTGCAAGTTTCACCCACATATAAAACTGAGCTAAAACCATCTCACCTTACCTACCTACTCACTTTATTATACTTTAGACACATAAAGATTACACAGTGCTAAAGGCTTCTTGCTTAGCAAACCAACCTCATCAATACTTTGCGACACAGATCAGATTTTCCCAAATATATCAGCCTAATGTATCTGATAAATGAGACCAGTAGGATAATGTGGGTTTTATTTATTTGATAAAAAATGCTTTTTGGAAATCCATTTTTTTATCTTATGTGTTAGATATAAAGTGAATATTGTAATTAATTGTGATTAAACAATCTCATCAAATGATTTTGATGGTTTCGGTATCTCATGCTAGCAAAGATACTGTAAGTTATACCCATGGTCTTTCAGCCTCGAGTTCTGAGACCGCAAATTCCTGACATTTATTGCATTTTTTTTATTGGGATCATTGGAAACCTCATTTTTAATCCATTTTAGTTAAATCATGTTTGATAATATTGTGATTTTATTAGTTTCAAAGTCCTGATTTTTCATTAGATGCATTTCACTATGCTAGCTGCTTTGAGTTCCAGCTGCTTCTGACAGGTGAGACTTTTTAGAGAGCGTTTTTTTTTTATTTCAAATAAGCATCAGTGAGAATTTTAATGTTCCAGGTTTGTGCTCAATTCCTGTAAAAAAAAAATAAAAAGTTGATCACCATGATCAAACTTCCTGCGCAATATAATTGATTGCCATTGTCTCTTTATGAGTGGAGAATGACATGTTTCTTTTCGCCAGAAGATAACTTGGTCATCAACATGGCAGACTGTTATCTGCTGTATAAATCTGCTGGCTCCAGTGGAAAGGATTTTCTGTGTTACTGCACTTTGCCATGGGGGCAAAGGTGAATGAAGTTGATCCGCAAAGCTTGCTGATTCTGCTTGAAATCTGGATTTACCAGGCTTTCCAAATGCTTATGCTGATCCCATCCACTGGGTACTACTCCCTTAGGCGTTTTCCACAGACAGTGAAGTCAAGCCATAGCCATCTCTAGCCTCCCTCTCCAGTTGTGGGTCACATAATGACATGCGGCTTCCATCTGAAATGGTCCAGCACTTCTCTGTATTCCACATGACCCCACGCAGACCTGGTCCTAATGCTTAGGAGAATCCATTAAGCTACAGGAAGATGTCTCTAAAGAATATTATACAAAGTCTTGTCAGGGAATTAGGGCTGGCAAAGTGAATTAATAATGCATTTCATCTGTCCAGTAACTGGACTATTTTCACCTCTTGGTAAAGGGTTAAATATATAAATAAACCTGCCTCATTGATTTATAAATGAGTTAAGTTTCTCTGGGCAAACTGCAGCTGGTAAAATGTCAGGTTAAACCATGTTCCAGAAAACAGCATACTGTATATTGGTTTGGATACTTCCATTATAGTTCCACTGTAGTGATTCTCCGCATTGTTGTCAGGTCATGGTGTCCTCTTACAGTATGTCAAACCACTGTCTTTTGACTTGATCTTTGATTGTCTGCTTTAGAAGAGCCTGGATAGAAAAACGGCTTTTTGTTTTTAGTTCTTGATTAGTTTTATGTTCATCGAAGATGGTGCACAAAAACCTGTTATTTAAAGGGGAACTGCAATGCTATTTTCGTATTTCAGGTTTAGAAAGAATCAGTTTTGATGAGTGCATTTCAAAAGTAAAATGTACACGGTAACTTGTAAAATCTCCAGTTGACTTCAGAAAATAGACAAGATTTCCAGGTATGCCCAGGACCATGTTTTCCGATTCAGAATAAGGCAACAGACATCCAATGACATGTTGCGGCCCTATGACATTGTAAACAGGCAGGTTTGTCAATACATGCCTTTTAATCTAATAGAAATATTGCTTTCAAATTTGAGACAAATACTGCTTACTTATTAACTCTGCATGCAAATAACGTTGGAAATGCTGTCCAGTTTTTTTTCTCCAAAGTAATAGGCTCAGATTTCCCATCTCTATTAAATTTCCTATTGTCAAAATTCTAGTAGAACTACTGTTTTCTCTCTGCTGCGTTTTCCAAACAATCCTACCAGAGCAGATGAACCACAATGAGAAACTGTGGAACGAGGAAGCCCCATTGTAGCTCAATATGCCAAACCTCTTCTGTGATCACACAAAGGATCTCAGTCTTCAATACTACTGTCAGATCAGCACCTTTCCGTCTCTGTAAATCCATCAGCATATGAAAGACTGCCATTTAAAATGTTACTTGGAAAGCATTTTCATTTCTTTGCACATTGATTTCTCAGTGGTAGTGAAAAAATATTTAACTTTCCAATCCAGGGAGATTCCATGTAATTCTTTTTCAAGTCAATTCAAAGCTTTTTTGAAAAAGAAAAGAAAAAATGGATTGAGTACAAAAGCGAATAATTTTCAAGTCTATTGTCTATTACCGTCATTTTTCCTCTGATGACCATTAATATTACATTCTTCATTTCCAGCACAGAAGAAATCAAAGCTCTTGGCAAAAAAGTAATATTCAAAGCAGTACACTATTGAAAAGAAAAAGTTTTAGACTGAATTTACATTTACATGGATTAACTCTTTATGAGAGCATAAATTTCAACTTTCAGCTGAGGTAATAATTTTAAAGTCTGTGTACTTTGAACTACTAACATTAGTAGTTCAAAGTGTTTAAGTTATGTTTGTGGGTATCTGTTAGTATGATTTGTTTTTTTTTACTACATCTCTAACTTATAACTGATCTACCCACATTGAGTCCATATGATCTGTCAAGTGATATTATAGTTACATGTGAAATATGCTTGATTGTTTTAAACAATCTTTTACTCCCACACACATTTGTTTTACAAACTATTCTGAGAAGGAATGTCTTCTGCTGTCGTCCTAACCTTTTTTTGTGTTTTCTCCAAGGTATTTTAATCAAATTTCTGCAAAGATTAGATGGCTTCATTATATAGGTTTAGAATTTAGTGAAGTGTTCTTATAGTCACAGTTGGAAGTCCTAAAAGAAAGCATTCATAGGTGTTTTCAGAATGTATTTTTTCATTTTTAAATATGACCTTGGTTAAGAGAAAACCACACAAAGGAAAAATTGAAAGCCCTATCCCACAGCAAAACGTCTGTCCTTAAAGTGCCAGGAGTCCTTAGGCAGGAAGAAGCCTTCTGGATGAGCACATATTCTTATGAGAATATTCACTGGGCACAATACCAAGGACAGGTGTGTTTCTTATGAAGGGCACATGTTTAGCTGCATTCCTCAGTGTTGCATTTTTGACAAATGTACTAATTAACAACTTACTGTAATGATCTTGAATTGTTAAAGACAAATGTGAAGCTGGTGATTCAGAAAAAAGCCTTTTGCTGTCGTAGGAGAGAGCACCAGCAGTGGAAGAGAACAGCGCATCTGAATGTGGTGTACTGAAAATATTTTTAAATCATTTCTGTATTTCTCGTACTGAGCAACACCACTTCGGGATATGGCAGAAATGTGGTATGAAATAAAAATATAGATTTTTCTGTCTCAGTTCTGTGATAGTTTGATTGCTTTTTCACTCACAAGAAATCTACAAGTTCACTCCTGTGAAAAACAGTTAAGCGAGCTCCACCGTTTGCCTAATCTGTCAGGCGATATTATAGTAGGTCAGCCTTAATTTGATCCAGTAAATCTTTATATCCCCTAAATCCACATTTTCCTTGTTCAATAATCATGGAAACGTGGATGATGAGGACTATGCTATGCTATATACATTCTTCCAAAAAACTGTACTGCAGATCCAACATTGCCCACAGGATGATGAGCACTGATGGAAGGTGTGTTAATCTCTCACAGACACCACTGTAATCTTTCAAGCAGCCTGGCAGTCACAGAAGTTGTTTTTTGACAGAATGTCAGGGATACCAGTTCAAATCTGGCCCACCACACCTCCAGCAGCAGTGAGATAGTTGAGCACTGCCACTTGGAGAATTCTGGTTACAGGTGACTAATGTCATAGCACAGGCTAGGTGTACTACTCATCCTAAAAAAAAAAACAAGCATGTTTTTGGGAGACTCATTTCTTAATTCTTGACATAAAAAGGACGGACAAACCTTCTTCTTCTTTTCTCACACACCCAATACTAGAAAGTCAAAATAACAAAATTTGCTTCATTTTTTATTAAAAAAAAAAAAGAAAACAAAAT